ACTGGGGTCAGGTGGCTCTCTGGGCCTCCTCCATGGCAAGAGCAGAACCCCGAAATTCCAGGCAATTGCCAAAAGCATATTCGGGGTAGGGGGTGCGGGGGGGTTACCTTTGTATTTTGGGGGAGATGAGAGTTCCAGGGCAATCCTGGCCAGGCAAAGGGGGGAATTTTGAGGCCCCAAGACCCAGTGGGGACTCAGGACCATGCACAGAGCTGCTTGTGAGCAGCTGGGTGCCAGGGAACCCCGCTGACCCTAAGGCCATGGGAGAATCCCCTGCTTAGGGCCCTGGACAACCCGTCAGCAGGCGCTGGGCTCCAGGCTCTGTAGGGGAGGGCGGAAAGCCCTCCTTGCTCACCCAGTGGGTGCCTGCCCCATCCCGAGCTTGGTGAGGCCTGGCGACAGCAGGGCGGGCAGAGGTTCAGGGCACAGGCTGGGGGAGTGGGAAACGGAGCAGAGAGGGACTTGCCAGATCTTGCCGAGGAAGACCTGAGTCACCCTGCTCCAGGCAGCTGCCATGGGGCGGATTGTCACTCCGTGGCCAGGACGACAGTGAGGACAGCGCCGACGTCTGAGTCGTGCTTGCTGGGCCTGTGAGGGAAAAACGCAGCCACTCCGAATAGGGTACAAAGAACAGAAAGATACGATTTTTCAAAGGAAGTCAGATACACCTGTCTCCAAGCCCAGCCAATCGCGGGACAGGTCCCAGGGGAGGAGGGAAGGAACAGCTGTGTCCTGTTTGGCCCAGGAGCTCAGCCGGGGATGCTTCCTTACCGAGGCCTGCCAGATAAAGTGCAGGCGCCCAGTTAAGTCGGAATGGCAGACAGACATTTTCTAATACAAGTATGTCCCAAACATGGCCTGCATGCGCATTTGAGAAATCCGGAGACCCTATCTTTGGCTGGTCTGTGAACAGCTCTGCGTTCGAGTCATAACTGAGTGAGACCTGTCTCCAGTTCTCTATATAAATTGCTAAATGAGTGGTTTAAAATGTCTTCATTGGAGATTTATCCTCCCATAATGCTCCCTGCAGCTCTGTGTACCTGCCACTGCATGCCCGCACTAGACCTGCCATCAGCTGCCAGTAGCTTTGGCCCGAGCTTTCGATGTGCTCATTTGGCACAGAACAGAGAGTCACCCTGCTTTCCTGGGAGGGGCTGGAGTCGCGGGTGCTTCATCACTTGAGCACATTCTTGGTTACAAGAAAGAAGCAGGTGTGTGTGTGTACTGTGTGTGTGTGTGTGTGTGTGTGTGTGTGTAATAAGATCAGTGTGGGTCTCCCCATTTCTGGGTGACTGCTGGGTAGGGTCTAAAGAGGTAAAGACATTGGCCCTGACTGGGTAGCTTGGTTGGCGCATCTTCGGGATACATCTAGGTTGTGGGTTCTATCCCAGATCAGGGCACATACAAGAATCAACCAATGAATGCATGAATGAGTGGAACAACTAGTCAACATTCCCCCCCCCCCTCTCTCTCTCCCATTAAAAAAAAAATAAAGGGGTTAAGACATGGGACCAGCATTCCTTAGCTGCCTGTTATGGTGGGAAATTCTGTAGGATCTGTGTGTGTGGGGGCATCAAAGGTGGAACAGGCAGCAGGTGACAACCAGAAGGCTGGAACCCAAGGCAGCAGGACACTGAGAGGCAGCCATGGGCTGGGAATGATCTTGGTCCCCTCGGTGCCCAGCTGCAGGGGACTTGGCAGCTCCATGGCCCACTGTCCCTCTGATGCCCGTGGGGCTGTGATGTGGTGGTGGCTGTCACGCTCTGACCACAGCCCAGAGCAGCAGGGAAAGGGGGGCCCTGCTCAGAGAGCCCATTTCCTCCGGGGCACGCCGTGGCAGGCTGTGCCTGCTGCCATCGCACTGGAGGGCTGGGCAGAAGGAGACTCAGGCTTGATCTCTCGGCTCTTTGCCCACAGAAAGCCTCGGCTTCCGGATGTAAACTCACTTATGGATGGAGACCTCCTTTTACCAAAGAAGGAGCCACAAGCTCTGTGGCTGACTTTGAACTTGGTGGCCTTCCACGATGAGCTTAGGAAAAGCCAGGCCATTCTCTGTTCCTGCGGCACCATCTCCTCTCTCCCCCTGCCCCTGAATCGGCAGCCATGTGGGCAGAGAACGTGTCAGCTCGGTAGCCCTAAATCCAGCACTGGTCCTGCAAGGTGGAGTGGGGTGGAGGTTGGGGGTGGGAATGGCAGCTTTTGGAAGCTTCTAGAGTAAAGGTCAGAGGCCAGAGAGTTGTGGCTGATGGGGACCCTTTAGCCCTGGACATAGCCCAGCCACAACCTCTCGGAGCAGCTATTTCCTGGCACAGCTGGGTCAGGTCTCCGAGTCAGTGTCCCATGGAACCGGGGGAGCGGTTTGTGTACTGGAAACAGTATTTGGGGCTCAGACGGATGGGCTCTAAAAACAGTTTTGATCTCTTAAACCTGTGAAATGAGGTCCTATTTACCAACCCCATGGCTCTGTGACAGAGAGAGATTCACCTCTTGGGAAAGCAGAGGCTCAGCCTGGCGCGTAGCTGGGCCTGAGCTCTTGCTGAGCCCAGAACCGGGTTTGGATATAAAGCCTGATGCATGGGCAGCCCTGGCTTACTGAACAGTGAGCAGGCGGGAGTTCCCCAGGGCTGGCTGCCAGGCGAGGGAGGGTATGCGGTCCTGGGGTGAGCGGCCCCGTGAGTCCGGGCTCTCTCCTCCCATACAGGTGCAGCCTCTGTTCCACGTGGGCATCCGCCATCCCATGAGGCTTCTGGGCGCAGGAAACAGGAATTCTTCCCACGAGGCTCCCTCCGCACTTGCCTCCGAGATTGGCCTTGAAGTCTGCAACCTGGAGAAAGGCAGGGGCTCAGGGCGGCTGAGAGACCTTCTCTGGCAGCTGGTCACCTGCTCAGGAGGGGTGTGTGCTCTGCTCAGCCCAGGAGACCCTGCGGGGTGCTGGCCCACCACAGCCCTCCTGCAGCACAGCGGAGCAGGGGACGGCCAGGGCGGCGGACCCCCCTTACTCAGCTGTCCCGAGAGAGACCCAGAATCAGCCTCAGGTCTGGATTTCACAAAAAATGAGAGCATCCGCTTCAGCCAGAGGCCCCAGCAGAGAAGAGCAGCGCCGGGGGCTTGGGAAAGGGTGCCCGGGGGATGAGCCCGTGTCACAAATTCGGGACATCGAGGCACGGATGCATTGAGGACTTGCCTGAGGGGCCCCAGAGCCCACCGGACTCTGCCCCAGTCCGAGGAAACAAAGGGGGTGCTTATGGAAGGCCTGCACAGAGCCCAGTCCGGTCCTGACAGCCCAGTGGGTCTCAGCCAAAGGCGGTTGTGCCTCCCACAGGGACATTGGCCATGTCTAGTTCAGTTGTCACAGCAACGGAGGGCACTGCTCCTGCGCCATGTCTGTGGGTGCCAGAGATGCTGCTAACATTTTACAGTGCCCAGGGCGCCCCCATGACCAAGAGTCCGAGATACCAACAGCGTGGCACCCCGCCCTAGGCCCCGGGGCAGAGCAGGGGAGATGGCCAGCTGGGAGGAACCGTGGCTGAGGCAGCGGGGCTCTGGAGGCTGGCTCCCCACTCTCAGTCCTGGAAGGAGCCCCCCAGGTGCAAAATGGGGCACCTCGACAGGATGCCCACTGCTCTAGGCAAGGTGCTGTGCGCCGTAGCCAAGCCTCCTGAGTAATTCCAGAGAGAAGCTTGTAAAACGTTTAAGAGGAGGGTAAATTACAGCCCCAGAAGCACATAAACGCTCCCATAAACGCCAGCCTGGCACAGCAGGCCTGCGTGGGAAAGCCCGCGTGGGGAGGCAGGGGCTGCGTTTCCCTTCGCTCCCTAACCTTCAGCCTCTCCCCCTGCTCGCTTACCTACCTGGCGGCTCTTTGCTCCTCTTATCCCTTCCCGGTCTGGAGAGTCTGCATCGGCCATCTCTGGACCCAGCTCAGGGACTGGGGCTCAGCGCCGGCCACCTTGGGGTCTTGGGTCTACCTCCTTGGAGGCCACAAAGGAAACTACCCTCCAAAGCAGTTCCCGTTTGCAGGCTCACTCCCATGATCCTTTGCTGGCCATAGCCATCAACAACCACCAAAGACAGTGCTCATGGCTTAACCAACATCTCCAAGGCACCCGAGGGTTTTCAAAACACGTTCCCTTCTGACTTTTGATTGAAGCCAGTGATCGCTCCTGTCACGACGAAGGCACTGAGGAGGCCAGAGAGGGGGTGATGTGTTCAGCAGACTATCAGCAGAGCCAGGATTTGAACCTGGGCCTCCCGTCTCTGAATTCCAGGTGGTGGCACCTGACCTTGGTTGTGTGGGCCACAAGGACATGGGAGTTGGGGTCTGAGAGCCCTGGTGTCAGATCCAGGCTCTTTCCTCAGAGCCTGTTTACCCTGAGCGGGTTTTTATTTATTTATTTTCTCACCATTCTGAGCCTCAGTTTCCACATTGGAAAAATGGAGACAATTTCGGCCACTTCCCAGGATTGTGGTGAGGTGGAAGTGAAATGACTCTAGGCAGACATATAACAGATGCTTTGTAAATTTTAGTTTTTTTTTTTTTTTTTTTTTTTTTTTTGCTCCTTTTCCACCATCCCGGTGGCCCAGGCCTAGGTCAGGGGCAAGGAGTGATGGTGACAGATGGTCAGGCTGGGCTCCTCAGGGGAAAGCATGCAGACAGGGCAGCGACCAAATGCCATCCGCGAGGCCACTCCCGGTTTATGGGATCTGGTGCACAGTCTTTGAAGAGGCAATAAAATTCATGTTCTGCTCCGAAGTCACAACAGCTGAGAGTCCTCACTTAGCCAACCCAACTGAACAATTTTTTTTTTACAAGGCAGGGAATTCTGGACGGGCAGCAAAAAGTCACGTTCTAATGCGATCAGCTTTCTGGAAAAGAACTAGGCTTTCCCAAGAGTAACACGCCAACACCCCACAAAGAGGGTATATAACCGCCCCGGAGAGGCCGGGGGAACCCAGAACCCCAGCTTCCCTGCTCAGCTGCACCTGCCTCTGCTAGCATCATGGCCACCTGCTCCCCGATCTGCTCCTCTGGGTCCATCAAGGTCCTCTGCGGCCCAGGGGCCGGGCTCTCTCGGGTGCCCCCCGTCCGCTCCATGGGCTCCTGCAGGGTCTCCGGCCTCGCCGGTGCTGCGGGCTCGGCCTCCTCCTGCCGGCTGGGCCTCTCGGGCCTGGGGAGTTGCTTGCCGGGCTCCTGCCTGTCCTCCGGATGCTTCCCCTCTGGCTTTGCTGGGAGCGGGGTCTGGCTCTGCGAGGGTGCCTTCAACGGCAGCGAGAAGGAGACCATGCAGTTCCTGAATGACCGCCTGGCCAGCTACCTGGAGAAGGTGCGGCAGCTGGAGCGGGAGAACGCGGAGCTGGAGACCAAGATCCGGGAGTGGTGCGAGTGTCAGATCCCGTACATCTGCCCCGACTACCAGTCCTACTTCAAGATCATCGAGGAGCTGCAGCAGAAGGTGACGGGGCCTGGTCCCTCTCCCGCCCCGAGGCCCGGGCCCTGGAGGGGGGTCTGCCTCATACCACGGGGCCACGGGTAGAACTGGAGCCCTTAGGGAACTCTCCCATCAAGGCAAGCTTTTCTCCTTGGGTTTCCTGGAGGGCCCAGATATTTCTGTTGCTTGTAACCTGTGGCCAGCCGTTCCTCCCTCCCCGTCTCACTGTCTCAGCGATAGGAAGGGCAACATCACACACCAACCCGCTCCTGGGCGCGGGCTCTGTGCCTGGCACGCTCCTCTCTGTGGCTTACTGGTTCCTTCCTCCTCGGGGAGAGATGGGCTTGCCTGGACCCATTGAATAGAGGAGGAAGTTGAAGTTGAGCGGGTGGAGTGCCCATTTTCACCTTGCCCAAGATCACACAGCCTGCCAGCACTGGGTGCAGAGCCTGACTCCAGCTCAGCCTGGCTCTCTCCACGCCCCCTGGTGTGTCCCACTGTGCCTCTCTGGGGGCCGCCAATGCCAGGACTGACGGCCACCGACATCCCTCCTGGGACTGACCTCCCTTCAGATCTGGGCTCTCTGGAAGCTCTCTGAAGGTGCTGGTGGTACTTAGAGGCCTGGCCTCTGTAAGTCGAGCTACCCACCCTGCTGGCCTTCTCCAGCTCACGGGGTGCTCCTTGCTCCCCAGATTCTGATGACCAAGGCCGAGAACACCAGGCTGCTCCTGCAGATTGACAACGCCAAGCTGGCTGCTGACGACTTCCGCACCAAGTGAGTGGGCCTGGCCGGGAGGGTTCTGTGCTGCTCCCCTGCCCGGGGGAGCTGGGGAGGCAGGGGTGAGGCTGGGGAGACTGTGCGAGGAAAACACAGCATGGGCTCCGGATCCCTTCCGGGTCAGGGGCAAGGAGCCCTGTGCTGCCGACCCCGACTCAGCCACCGCGGCCAGACAGCAGGCAGGGGCCTCCCCGGGCCTGGCTCCTGGGCTGCAGACCTGGCAGGGCTCTGTGTGTGCAGGTACGAGACGGAGCTGGGCCTGCGGCAGCTGGTGGAGTCGGACATGAACGGGCTGCGCAGGATCCTGGACGAGCTGACCCTGTGCAAGGCCGACCTGGAGGCCCAGCTGGAGTCCCTGAAGGAGGAGCTGCTCTGCCTCAAGAAGAACCACGAGGAGGTGAGGCTGGTGCCATGAGACCTCCCCATGTTTCCCACCCGGCGGGGGGTCTTGGGCATAACAATTGGGGCAACCACCACCGGAACTCCAGCTGGCATTGGCTCCTGGCTTACTGTATGCAGGAACTTTGCACTTCATTTCATCCTCACCGTAATCCCAAGAGGGATATGCTATTATAAGCTCCATTCTACAGATGAGAACACTGAGGCCCAAAGAGGTTAAGTCTCTTGCCCACACTCCTGCCCATAACACGAAAGCTCCATTTGGACGGCAATGCCTGCTAACAGGCCTATTTGCCTGGTGCTGGCACCATCTCACTTTCCCAAGCCCTCTGAGGAGGTCGCTCCAAGCCCAGGAGGAGACGGGGGCTCAGAGAGGTTCAGTATCCTGTTTCATGTCACACAGCTGGCCACCAGAGAGGAAGGTTGGAATGCAGCTCAGCTGAATCCCATCCCTCTGCATCCAATATCTTTTTCATCACCTTACGGCATCTTGCCGGCTCCCTGCAGGAAGTCAACGCACTCCGCTGCCAACTCGGGGACCGGCTGAATGTGGAGGTGGACGCCGCGCCCCCGGTGGATCTCAACAAGATCCTGGATGACATGAGATGCCAGTATGAGGCCCTAGTGGAGAACAACCGCAGAGACGTGGAGGCCTGGTTCAACACGCAGGTGGGGCTCGGGGCAGCCCAGGGTCGCCTGCTCCTGGGCCGGGGTTACCCTTGACAGTAACTTCCCTTGGTCTGACTACGCTGGGCCTCTCGTTCCCCAGACCGAGGAGCTGAACCAGCAGGTGGTGTCCAGCTCGGAGCAGCTGCAGTGCTGCCAGACGGAGATCATCGAGCTGAGGCGCACGGTCAACGCCCTGGAGATCGAGCTGCAGGCCCAGCACAGCATGGTGAGTGGCTCCTGCGGGGTGGCTTGTCGGCCCCTCGTGGCAGGCAGGTTCCCCGGCCCACCAGCCTCAGCGCTTAGATGGCCATGGGCGTGATCACAGTGCCATGCGGAGTCCTGGGGCCGTGGGTGTCTGGGTGGGATCCCCTCCCGTTGACAGTTCTCCTTTTTCCCGCTGCAGCGGAACTCCCTGGAATGCACGCTGGAGGAGACAGAGGCCCGCTACAGCTCACAGCTGGCCCAGATGCAGTGCCTGATCGGCAACGTGGAGGCCCAGCTGGCCGAGATCCGCTGCGACCTGGAGCGGCAGAACCAGGAGTACCAGGTGCTGCTGGACGTCAAGGCCCGGCTGGAGTCGGAGATCGCCACCTACCGCTGCCTGCTGGAGGGAGAGGACTGCAAGTGAGTGGCCCAGGGTCCTGGGAAGTCAGGCCTGGGGGGGAGGAAGGGGCAGGGAGTGTGCATCTAGATCCACCCCCAGGGCCTGGCTGGCAGCATCAGCCCAGGGAGTGGCTAAAGCACAGATGAAGGGGTCAGAGCCAAAGCCTCTTGAGAGAGATTCTTCCCGGCCCCCCACTTGGGTCATTCACGGGGGGTGGAGGGGGGAGTTGGGGGAATAGGACAAGCCATCCAAGCACTGTTTTGGCTGGGAGTTCCTAGTCTTCATCCCTGCAGCCCCCGGCACAGCCTGAGGCCGTTCAGTGCTGTCACCCACGTGTTTCACTTGATCCCCTAAATCTGGTTAACGTGACGTCGGTGCCAAGTCCCGATGTCTGACCTGATACGATTCCATCTCCCCAGGCTGCCCGCCCACCCGTGTGCCACAGAATGCAAGCCTGCTGGCAGAGCTCCCTATGTCTCGGGCATGTCCTGCGCCCCGACTCCCCAGTGCACCTAGATCCGCCCCAGTGCCGAGGAGATCTGAGACGGGAGAGTCTTTCCCCCAGGAGCACCAGCAGGCCTGCCCCCGTGCCCAGCTGCCCAGCCCAGAGGGCATGTCCTGGCCCACAGGAGGGAGGCCACCCCTGCGGCTCCCGGCTCTCCACAAACCCCCTTCCCTAGAGGGGCTCCCCGCTCAGCAGGGTTTTTTCTACCGAAATATTTCTTGTATTGTGCTTCTCTGTTTCACTGCTTTCATGCATGCAAAACTAGGTTTCCTTGGAAATGTACCCAATAAAGTGTGTTCTCTTGGCATAGCAAACACGGCTCTGTCTGCTCTCGCGTGGTTAGCTCTGGGGGTGTTTGGTCAGGGGTTGCAACGAAGGTGTGGGTTCTGGTGTCCGATCTGTCTTCGCTGGTGCTGGGTGATAGGAAGTGACTGGGTGAATAAAAATATTGAGTAACGGAAACCGGTCTGGCTCAGTGGATAGAGCGTCAGCCTGTGGACTGAAGGGTCCTGGGTTCGATTCCCGTCAAAAGCATGTACCTTGGTTTCGGACACATCCCCAGTGTGGGGTGTGCAGGAGGCAGCTGATCGATGTTTCTCTCTCATCTATGTTTCTAACTTTCTATCCCTCTCCCTTCCTCTCTGTTAAAAAAAAAAATCAATAAAATATATTTTTTAAAAATAAATAAATAATAAAAATAAAAATATTGAGTAACGGGGATACCTCAGGCCCTGGTCCCCGAGCCCAGACACTGGCCCAATCAGGATGGGCACTGGCCACAACCCACAGGCTTGTCGGCCCTGCCTGTGGGTACCCACCCGGGGAGGCCACAGAGGAGGCAAAGGCTTCCCAGCCCGTCCTCCTCAGCAATCCTGCCGGGATCTGGGGGTTACCCGAGGGTTCTCTCTCCCTTCCCTTTAGCTTCTCCCTGGCCTGACACCCTTTTCCCTGCTCACCCACCCTCAGACCTGGCACAGGGACAGTTTAGGAGAGAGGGTTCCAGGACCAGCCAGAGAGAGGCAAATCCCAGACTGCCAGGCTGGGCCAGCTGCCCCCAGGAGGGGAGTTGGAATGCCTTGGGGTATGAAGGTGGGAGGTGAACTCATGTCCACAACACTGCCTACAGAGTCCGTGTGTGTGAGTGTGTGTGTGTGTGTGTGTGTGGTGGAAACTTCACAATGGGGCAGCATTCAAAGTGCCCCGGATTCTGCTGGCTGAGCTGTGCCCATCTGAGCATGGAGCCTAACCATGCCAGGACCTGCTCCTCTCTGACTGAGGGGCCTGGCCTGGGAGAAGTCTGAGGCCCTCACACCTGCTTTGTCTCTGGCCTCATTCCCTTTTTATGCACTCTCTACAGTCTGCAGAGGGAACTCACAGCCTCCTGCCATGCACCCAGACAGCCCTGGGGGTCATGGGCGCTTTATTTAGGTAGCCTTGTCTAGCTTTTTATTAAATTGTTTAGAGCCTGTGTTGATTAAGGAACCCCTTCTTACTCTCACCCTCACACACACCTTCAACTGAGTTCCAGTTTAAATCACTAAGCAGTGTGCACACCAGAGCTCAGCACTGTGGACTGGACATGGGCGCGGCAGTGAATTGGCTCACGGGCCTGTCTCCCTTTGGGCAGAATGGCTTTTGGCCCAGAGAACACTGTTCTCTGCCAGAGGGGCTGGTTTGTCTGAGCAGGTGCTGCCCACCTACACAGAGATGCCTAATCTTTTATCACTAAGTCTCGGTTTCCTCATCTGTAAGCGTAAGGATGATAAGACTGACGTTGGAAGTACTGTATCTTTCTCTCTCAGTTCTCTACTCACTCTTCTCTCCTCCTTTCTTCATTCCCTCCTTTTCTAGGCTCCCTTCTTCTCAAAATCCTTTTTTTTTTTTTTACTTCCTTGCTTAGCACAATTCACCATGGGCAAAACATTCATTCATTGATTCTTTGATTGATTCATTCATTCATGTATATTGAGACATCTAGAAGCCCAGCACTATGCTTGACACTGTAGAGGTTTCAAAAGAAGTACCAGGTCATTCCTTTCCCCCAAGAATGTACAGTCTCCCTGAGAAGATAGGGCTGAAACACAACACAATTGGAGGATACCATCGAATGGAAGGCCAAAGGTCAACCACTAATCACTGCCATCAGTGTTTGAAGCTGGTAGAGTACAACAGGGCTGGAGCAGGGGGCAGGCTCCTGAAACATCCTAGCCTCAGTTTATTCATCTATTAAATGGGGATATTGGCGATGCCAATCTCATGGGGTTGTTGTGAGGAGTGAATGAGAGAATGCCTGGAGAGTGCTCAGCCCAGAGCCCAGCAGGTGCTCAGTGCTCAGTGAATGATGGCTGGTACCACTAGCTTATTACAAGGACCATGTGGGAGAGAGAAACCCCTTCCAGGGAGCACAGGTGTGGAGCCCTGCCTGGGAACCCATGGGAGCCTCAGGGCTGTATAAACAGCATGTGGCTTGCTGGCCTCCACTGCTGGAGTTTCTCCGGGCTCCTGGGTGGCTCCAGGAGGCTGCGGCTTAGCACGGCTTGGGTGGAGCCCTGTCCTCACCTGGGTGGGAAGCACAAACACGCAAGCAGGTGCAGCCAGGTTCTCAGCTCAGGTGTGTTCTTGCACCGGGGCATGGATTTCCAGGGAGGGAGAGGCTGAGGCAGCCAATGGGGGTGCTGGGCTAGCGCTGGGTAGATGCCGGTCACACCAGGCCCCCAGGTGTGGGAAGGGCGTGGTGACTCATGGAAGCTCTGTATCTGAGGGCCCTAAACACATGTGCCTGGCCTGTGGGATGGTGGCCTGTGTGCTCAGAAACCGTCTGCACTCCCTGGTGACAGCTGTGCACTATTGAGGTGAGACTTCAACAAGACTCCACAAGCGTGGGGACCAGCAGGCAGCAGCTTCCCTTGCTGAGCATGAACCATGAGCAGGTGTTGTTCCAGAAGCTTCACACTTGTTATCCTCAGAGCAGCCCTAGGAAGCAGGTCTATCTTCCTCCCGGCCTACAGAGAAGGAAATAGAGAGAGGAAAGAGTTGGCACGTGGCAGGGCTGGGATTCAAACCCCCAGAGTTCACAGGGAGCCACGATGCTGAGCTGCATCTCCTGGGACACCAGGGGCTGTGGGCCATCCTCTTGTGGAGTCCACCCCATTCTGTCCTTTCCTTTCTCCAGAGCCCAGCCACAGGAGGCGACCCAGGACCGGATTTCAGAGCTGCGGTGGAGGCTGGTGGTGTGGTGAAGAGGGCCAGGCCAGACTCGGGTTGGCATCTGGGTTCTGCCTGTCAGGAGTGGGTGCCACTGGCAAGCTTCCATTGCCCCTGGGTCCTGGTTTTCTCAGCTTGGAGAGGGGGTAACAAGCTCGGCTCACAGGGCACCATGAGGATTCAGTGATAACCAACACAGGAAAGCACCGAGTGCCCTGCCGGGAAGGCTGCTGGTGCTCAGCCCACGGCTGTTCCCCTGATGGGACCCCGAGAAGAGTAAGCAGGACCCAGACCACAGGGCAGAACAGAAGGCAAGTCCCATCGGCTTCCCTGACGAGGCCCCTTCGCAGCAATACCTGCCCTCTTGCTCAGCTCCCAGACCCTCTTCCAGGCCCCACTTGCTCGGCAGACTGGATTTTCTGGGCAGATAACCCACCCTTGACCAGCTTTCTGGGCATCCACCCACCACTCCTGTAGCAGAGATCAATGCCGAAGGCCAGGCGCTCTGGGCCTTCGGAGGAGGCCTGGGAGGCAGGGCCACTCCACCTGGCCCATAACCAGAAGGGAAGGCTTCTCCATTTTCCAACCAGGGCCTGGATGGCACCCTCCTTACGTGGGGCAGGAGCCCAGTTAGCTGACCTCTAGTCATCTTGGCTGGAGCGAAGGCTGCACAGCCAGAACAGACTTCCTGGCACGGAGGGAGTGGGGATGTGGTCATCCAGGCTCTGCTGTGTCCAGGGTGACCACCTGAACCCTTTTGACCAGGATGCAGGGGTTCCCGAGGATCAGAGACTTTCAGCACTAAAACCAGAACCATCCCGGGGAAACAGCCATTGTTGGTTCCCGTAGTCCTACTTCCTGAGCTGTTCTAGAGTCTTCTGGGTCTTGCTTGGGCTTGAGGCCAGGCCTTCTTGCAACGACCAGACTTGCCTTTCCAACACCCAGAGGCCTCCCGGACTCCCCTGGCCCATAAAAGAAGACAAAGCTGGAGAAAGTCAAGGCCATGGCTGGACTCCCACACCTCTTACCCAGGAGGCTGAGGTCTGGGCTCTGATGACAGGCCCCTTTGAAGAACTAAGAGAGACCGGGTCTTGCCAGCAGCGCGGGGCGGTGGGGATGAGTCTCAACGTAGCCGCCCGTCCAACGGGGCTCCTTTTTTACGAGGCCGAGCCATGTTCACAGGAAGCTAAAGAGCAGTTAATAAGGGGTTCTGGTAGAAAGTGGTATTGACTTTACGAGGAGAAGACACTTTGTAAAGACCAACGCCCACGGGGGCCGAGATATAAATCCGGGGCCGAGGAGCGGCTGCGTCTCTGCATCGGGGGAGTCCAGCCTTGAAGCTCGCGTCCCAGTGCGGAGGCCATGGCTTCCAAATGCCTCAAGCCTGGCTTCTCCTCGGGGTCTCTCAAGGGCCCACCCCGCGTGTCCGCCGTGTACTCCAGCAGCTCCTGCAAGCTCCCGAGCCTGTCCCGCGGGGCCCGGAGCTTCTCCGCCTGCTCCGCCGGGCCGGCACTCTGCCTCCCGTCCGGGGGCTTCGCCACCAGCTACAGCGTGGGCGGGGGCTGGTTCGGGGAGGGCGTCCTCACGGGCAGCGAGAAGGAGACCATGCAGTTCCTCAATGACCGCCTGGCCAGCTACCTGGAGAAGGTGCGGCAGCTGGAGCGGGAGAACGCCAGCCTGGAGGGCCGCATCCGCGAGTGGTGCGAGCAGCAGGTGCCCTACCTGTGCCCCGACTACCAGTCCCACTTCCGGACCATCGAGGAGCTGCAGAAGAAGGTGAGGGGCTTAGAGCGGCGTCGGCGGCTCAGGAGGCTGGTGCCACCGGCACTGGACTGGACGCCAGGACATCTGTGGTGGCGGCCCAGTGCCCCTGGGGCACTTCGGAGGTCACAGAGCATGTCCACACGGTGGCCTCACTTGCTCCTCCCTGGAATCTATCACCAGCCCATTTAACAGATGAGAACACTGAGGCTCAGGCTGGTTAAATGACTTATTCTAAGTGGTCCTGCTGGCAGTTAGTGGAGCCAGAGTCTGAACATGACTCTATGGACTAATTGGTTGTATGACTTTTAACACCATAACGCAACTCTCCTCATCCTCCCCCTCCTCCTCCTCTTTCTCCTCCTCCTTTAAAGGAAGGGGTTTGGATTTGATGTGTTGGTACAGGGCAGGTTTCCTATAACTGATTCAGGAAAGAAAAGGCCTTTCAGAAGTTTCCTTTTCACCCAGCTCACATCCCCTGAACATTAGCTGGCTTCTGAGAAGGATCCCTGTAGCCTGGGTGATAGAGAGAGAAGAGGAAGCCACTCTGCAGGTCTTTCCTGCAGCATCTCTAGGCCACCCCTCTATTCCAGGTGACAGGATGCAGATGACTGCATCGGAAGAGGCCCTAGCGGTTTCCTGCCCTGATCCGTGCAGCAGGCCCATAAGCCTTCATGGAGCCTAGGCTGCCAGGAGTCCAGGGATGGGAGCTGTCCTTTCTCCAACGGCAGCTCATGCCAGCTTTCGGGTGCTCCAGCCAGCAGAATGTCCTTTCTTTTACTGAAGTAACTCTTCTTTCTCCCCCCACCCCCCAGACCCTGTGCACCAAGGCAGAGAACGCCCGGTTGGTGGTGCAGATTGACAATGCCAAGCTAGCCGCTGATGATTTCAGGACCAAGTGAGTGTCCTGCTTGCCCCCTGGTTGAGGGGGGTGGGTGATACTGGACACTGGTGATGCCCAAACCCAGGGTTTTGGCTGCACTAAGTCACTGAGGCGTTAAGGTGGGCACACAGCACCAGGCCAGTCTGGGGTGAAATGTGACTTGGACATAAAACAGAAATGCAGCTTCAGGTGCCCTGTTACGTGCCTGCCAGGTATGAGATGGAGGTGTCCATGAGGCAGCTGGTGGAGTCAGACATGAACGGGCTGCGCAGGATCCTGGATGATCTGACCTTGTGCAAGGCTGACCTGGAGGCCCAGGTGGAGTCCCTGAAGGAGGAGCTGCTCTGCCTCAAGAAGAACCATGAGGAGGTAAGAATGGGGAGGTGAGCAGGGGAGCAGGGGAGCATGGGGAGAAGATGAGCATGGGGATCTGGTGAGCATGGGGAGTAGTGAGCAAGGGAAGGAGGTGAACATGGAGGAATAGGTGAGCATGGGGAGCAGGTGAGCAAGGGCAGGAGGTGAGCATGGGGGAGTAGGTGATGATGGGGAGTAGGTAAACATGGGGAGTAGGTAAGCATAGGGGAGTAGGTAGGTGAACATGGGCAGGAGGTGAGCATGGGAGGAGGAGAGCATGTGGAGAATGTGAGCATGGGGGAGCAAATGAGCATAGGGGAGTAGGTGAGCAGGGGAGCAGGTGAGCATGGGGATTAGCTGAGCACAGGGGAGCAGGTGCAGTGATGGGGAGGGTGATGGGACAGCCAGTGGGAAAGTTAGTGCTGACCTTTGTCTATGCCACAGGAAGTAAACTCACTGCGCTGCCAGCTTGGTGACCGGCTCAATGTTGAGGTGGACGCTGCCCCGCCTGTGGACCTGAATCGTGTTCTGGATGAGATGAGGTGCCAGTATGAGACCCTGGTGGAGAATAACCGCCGGGATGCTGAAGACTGGTTCAACACCCAGGTACGTCCTGGAAGCAGTCAGCCAGAGACACACCGTGGGTCACACAGGAGTGACCTGGGGCTCCACATCAAGAGCCCCGAGTTTGAGTCCCAGCTCTGCTTTGAGCATGCATTGTGGGCAGGTGGCTGTGGTCTGAGCAACCACGTCCTCTGAAATGAATAGTTTGGGCTGGGTAATCTGGAAGGTCCTTCTCAGCTCATGATTCTCAGTGGCCTCTGAGGACCTCAGGAGCTGTGTCCCCAGCGATCCTGACCAGGTCCCGGGTGTGTATGTTTCAGACCGAGGAGCTGAACCAGCAGGTGGTGTCCAGCTCGGAGCAGCTTCAGACCTGCCAGGCGGAGATCATCGAGCTGAGGCGCACGGTCAACTCCCTGGAGATTGAGCTGCAGGCCCAGCAGAGCATGGTGAGGTCCTGAGGCTGCTGGGGACCAAGCCTACCTGCCCGTGAGCCCCCTGATTTCCATGCTCTGACCACACAGGCTCATGGTCAAGTTCATCAGAGATTTTCTGTGCAGAGAAGAGGGAACGAGAGCCCAGCCCCCATTCACAAATGCCCCTGTGGTTCAAGAGGAGGCTGTGGCAACCGACATGTCCAGGCAGCAGCTCCTGTATTTGTGGAAGCAGATTCTTTCTGAGTAATTATCTGTTACTCAGAGATATCCTTTTTTTTTTAAATTTTTTTTTGTGTTAATCCTCACATGAGGATATTTTCCCATTGATTTTTAGGGAGAGTGGAAGAGAGGGAAAGACAGAGAGAAATATTGCGATGTGAGAGAAACATATCAATTGGTTGCCTCCTGCATGAGCCCTGACCAGGGCTCAGGCCGGGGTGGAGCATGCAACCGAGGTCCATGCCCTTGACTGGAATCAAATCAAGGAACCTTTGGTCCACAGTCTCTGACTATCCACTGAGCCAAACCAACGAGGGCCAGAGATATCATTTTTAGGTCATTTTAGACCAAGTTGTCTAGAGGGGCTAATTGGCTCATCTCAAGAGAGACGTCAGGTTGTGGTTCATCCAGGCTCCAAGTGATTCTCTGGGCTTCGGTTCTTGGATTCCGAGGCCTTCGTGAGACCCAGATGGATTAGGTGCATCTTCTTTGCTCCTCCTCTGACCTCTAACCTTCCTCCTCCCTACACAACCCTTGTCCTCACAGAGAGATGCTTTGGAATCCACCCTGGCGGAGACGGAGGCCCGCTACAGCTCGCAGCTGGCCCAGATGCAGTGCATGATCACCAACGTGGAGGCCCAGCTGGCCGAGATCAGGGGAGACCTGGAGCGGCAGAACCAGGAGTACCAGGTGCTGCTGGACGTCCGGGCCCGGCTGGAGGGCGAGATCAGCACGTACCGGGGCCTGCTGGAGAGCGAGGACTGCAAGTGAGTACCACTGCGCTCTCATCTTCTGAACGCAGTTCACACAGTTCTGGGGAGACAGCACGGTGCCTGGGAAGAGCCCAGCCAGGAGCCCCGGGTTTCCTTCTGGTCTTGTTACAAATTCATCGCATGACCCGGGCGAATCTCTTTTCTTCCGTTGCCTCTGTTCCCCTTTTGGCAAAAATAATGGGGCAGGTCTAGGTGATTTTTAGGTTACTTTGGGTTATGGAAAACAGCAACTGGAAAATCATACTAATCTGGTCTTCTTCTTTCTCCTAGACTGCCCTGTAACCCGTGTGCTCCGGAACCCTCGCCCTCCAAGTCATGCATCCCCTGTCTTCCCGTGGCCTCCTGTGGTCCTGGTGCAGCCCGCACCACCTGCAGCCCCCGCCCCATTTGTGTGCCCTGCCCAGGAGGCCGGTTCTGAGGGTGCCTAGGCCCAGAAAGCCAAGGCCACTGTCTCTAGGACTAGTTGGCCTCTAGTTGACCCTAACCCTAGAGCCCCAATCCCTTCTCATGCAGAGCCCAGGGTCTCACCACAAATATATGCCATGAAGTTTCTCAGAGCCTGCCACGAAGGCTGGCCGCTCTCAGAGGCCTCAACTCCTCGTCATTTCAATGGGTGCCAGGGTCTTTGTGCTCAGACCCTCTTGGGTCAGCATTTCCTTCTGGGCGCTGTTCCAGTGGGATCTGAAATGCAACAGAGGGATTCAGAACAATAAAGTGCATTTGCTCTGGCTCCCGATGCCTAAGTAGCACCAGTCCGGTTTGTTGGTTTGTTTCTCTGCTGTGTGAAGAGGGGTGACTCTTGGGCAGATGAATGGGGGATGCTTGGCCATGATGCTGGGGATGACAGGATCCCTGTGCTCCTTTTTGGGGTGGGTAGAGGCCTACAGTGGGGCTTAATTGTTCAGCTTTCCTGATGAAGACCTTTCTTCAAGAGTCCAGAGCTGTGGCAGATGTCACCAGACCCTCCTCCCTACTATTCAGTATACAAGATCACCCTGGGAGCTCAGAGGAGGAGAATGAAACTGGGGCCAGTGCAATGGAAAGCATCTAAAGCCACTTCATTAGCTCATGTCTGTGGTCCTCCTAAGAGCATATGAAGTTTCACATCAGGTTACTTCCAGGAGTCTGCTTCAATCAACCCCCTCTTCCACTGCAGCTTTTTCACACAGCTCCCCCCACTTCAACAAGCCCCCTGAAAACCCACTCTCCATCCAAACACGAGATCCGAGAGTGAGACAGCCACTGTGACTCCAACTGATAATTCAGAGATTCTAGCCCTTTAAGAAGCTCATCACCATCTTGCGTGCCCTTGACGTCTGATAAGGCCAACAGGAAAGTAGGAGCTCCCAGCATTTTGACCCAAAAGCTCTCAGTTGGGCCCAGAATGTCCTCTCCCAACAGACCAGGCAGGCTTCAAGTTCCATCAATGCCAATGGGATGTGGAGAAGGATGAAGGCAAAGCTTTCTGAGATGGAAAGAAAGGGGGGTGGGCCCCAGATGGCCATGTGCTCTTTATAAGGTGCCAAGAGCACATGCTGAAGAGCTTCAGTGATGGTAAGAGAGTTAGAGCAACACTCAAGGTGGAAAACAGATTGGGAAAGATGCTGACTAAGGTAACGCTGAGGCCCCCCCCCCCCACACACACACACATACACACCTCTTTAAGGATGCAGAGAGTAGTTCAACCTGATTAGATTTTAGAATCCTCCCCTTTCCAATCTCCTGGAAAGGTGGGTCTGGGGCTTCGGTTCTCCCATCCCTCTCACACCTGGCATTCTGCACCCCCTCAGCTCTGGGCTTCTTGGAACCCCTTGGCTGGTTTGGCTGAGGCTTAGCCACCCAAAGAGGACGATGGTCTCAGGATCATTCAGTTCATTCAACAAACCCTTTCTGAGCACCTTCTGAGCACCTTCCTGGGTCAGGTGGTGTGTTAGGTGCCAAAGACAGGATTGACAGGACATCGGAGGGAGGCCTTGGGATGGGACAGGAAGGATCCCACTCTCTGTCTCTTTTCCTTCCTAATTCATCAGTAGGAGGAGGCCAGTGACAGAGGGCCATGGCGTTAGAATTGCCGAAAGTTAATTCTAGCATGTCAGCAGGGCTGAATCATCTGGAATGGCTGAGGGCATTTTCCCAAACCTGAAAAGGAAACTTGCTGCCAGACAGCTGAGGGCATTTCAATCTACATGTTACTGCCTCCTGCTGGCCAAACACCTGAATAGCTGTAGGCAGTTCCCCCAATCCAATAATGCCTCTGTATTGGCCTTTGATGTGTACATCTACCTTGCCTTAGGACAATTTATGTTAATAAAGAGCAAGGGAGGACTTGGTTTCTTTAGCTAAGTCTCCTCTGACTCCCCAAAATGCCTTCCAAAATTATGTTTTGCCTCTGGATTCTTTATTAATTTACCAAAGCCCTTCTCCAGATTCCTGAACCCTTCTAGATGCTGGATAAGACCCCTGGCAAGAATGATGAATGTGGGCTCCAAACACAAGCCAGACTAACTTGAGTTCAAATCCCAGCCCCACTTACTGCCTGTGGGAGCTTTCGCAGGTGTAGGTCTCAGTTTCATCATCAGTAAAAGAGAACAGGACATTGACTGTGCAGGAAGGTCCCTAATGCTAGCATTTGAAAACTGGCTAGTAATTATTGTGGACTCTAGTCTAGCTGGATGCCTGGGTTGCTCTGAATGTGGGCACCCACCTTTTTCCTGACCATGGTTTCACTTCTGAGGTTTCCTTCCAAGCAGCAATGTCCAAGGCAAACCAGGCCAGCCAAAGTGGGTAAGTAGGGAGATGACTTATTAGCCACTCGGAGCAAAGTCAGTGGGAGAATCCACAGTCAGGAAGCGGTACAGCACCCTCCCTTGACCGCACAGCTCAGGTTAACTGTTTCGCACAACGCACATTCTTACTTCATCCTTTGTGGTACAAGCCTCTTCCAAACCTACCCTAACTCCCTCTAAGATGGAGCGCACCAGATCCTGTGCGGCCCTGTGCAGAAAGCATTACTGTCTACTTTATTAGCTTGTGATTTTCCATTGTAAAGCTGTTTCACTTGGCCAGAGGTCCTCAGCCTTGGCCAAGGCTGATGCTTTTAAAACACATGGATGCCGGGTCTGAAATCCTGAAGTCCTGATGTCGTGGGTCTGGAACAGGCCTGTTGTTGGGGTTTATGAAAGCTCTGCACGTGATTCCAGTGAGCAGCCAGTGGGAGCCCTGCTGGCAAGGCCCCTGGGAGTTCAGGGGTTCAGGATGCCTCTGATTCCGACTTTAGTGCTGTCTGATCCCCATGGTGTAGTTAAAAAAAAATTATTGACCTCAAAGAGGAAGGGGGAGAGGGAGAGAGAGATAAGAACATCAATGATGAGAGAGAATCATTGTTAGGCTGCCTCCTGCACACCCCACCCTGGGAATCGAGTGCCCCGACCTGGAATCGAACTGTGACCTTCTGGTTCATAGGTTGATGCGCAACCACTGAGCCACGTGGCTGGGCTAACCTAACCTTTTGCATTTGCATGAGGAAACAGAGGCCCAGAGAGGTAAAGTGACTTTCCCAAGATCACACAGCAAATTAGAAGGTAATAATCTCTATCTTGACTTTTCTTAGGCAATGAATTCTGGGAATAGAGCTAGGTGGGGTTTTCTCTCCCCTGCTTCTTCACCAATACTTCTAGAAATTTGTGAAAAACAAGGCAAGTGCTTATACTCCAATATTATGTTGAGAAGATGAAGAAAGACGACGTGGCTATATCACACACACACATTACACGTGACGTGTTTGAGCTGGCGGGTATTACAGGCAAGGACTGAAACCACGGGTCTCCCCTGTTGCATTCTTAAGGAATGTCCCAGGCTCCTAGAATTGGAGATACCTGCCCCCCATATCTTGGTGAAACTCATCCCAGGGCTGCCAAGTGTCACTTCTCAAGGGAGCTGATGCCCCCTGCCTCCGACTCTGAGGCCCTGACGGGAGCCCTCCCTGCCCACCATTGCAGAAGGTGAGAGCAGAGCCGGTGCCAGCCTGGCCACCTCCATCTCAGCAAACAAGAATCGAACTGGACAACTCTGTGCGTGGGGCAGTGAGCAGTGAAAGGGTGGATCCAGAGTCGGTCAAGATAGAGCATCCGCCTCATGGAGATGTCCATGGCATTGAAGGTTTTCTCCCAGAGCAGCGGTCCCTCATCTTTCTCAGCAGTGTCCAGCTGAAAGGCTGTCCCTGGCTCTTAAGGCTTTCTGACTTGAGTTTGTTGTCTTGCCCAAGATATTATTTCTCTGAAGATGATCGGTGCTCTGAAGCCTCAGAGGTTCTCTTCCCCACCTCCCTGGATTTCTACTGCTGCCAGTATCAATGCAGCTTTTGTCACCCACACACTTCCTCCTTCAGGGGCCAGGCCTCAGCCCACAGGGAATGCTCTCATTACTAGGAGAGCCCGCCGGCCCACAGAAGGGGCCTTTCTCAGGGCTGGAGCAGGCGGGGGGTGTGGGGGGCCAGGCCGTGGGTGGCACAGGGACAGGCCGCCATGGTCTCCTGGCGACTCCACCATGGTAATGAGGGCCCAGCACGGAGTCGATCCTTTGAAGTTGTGTCCGGAAACTCTCCCCCGATGATCAATGACAGGAGGCCTGCTTTAGCCAAATGACAAGCTTGGCCTCTTTTATGAGGAAAGGAACTGCTTATTGGAAACTAAATTACAAATTAATTAGCAGCTTCCTTGGAGGCTGAGTGTACACATCAACACCTCTTTCTAGGGCGAGCCCCCTCACTCCAAGGGGATAAAAGGCCCCAGAGGGGGTCTGTAGGTGTAGACGATCCAGGTAGCTGCAGCTGAGAGAAGGGGCCTCCCCAACACGGCACCCAACTGCCCACCCATCTCCACTAAGAGCTGCCCCCAGGCCTCTGTCTGCTCCAGGAGCATGAGCTGCCGGCCCGAGCTGTGCATGGGCTACGTCTGCCAGCCCATGCCTTGCGTGCCTTCCGTGTGCATGCCCACCACCCACCGGCCGGCCAGCTGCCTCTCCAAGACCTACCTATCCAGCTCCTGCCGACCCAGCGGTGGCCGGCCACCCTCTGGCATCTCTGGCACCATGGGGACCTGCAGCTGGTTCTGTGAAGGGACCTTCAACGGCAGCGAGAAGGAGACCATGCAGTTCCTTAACGACCGGCTGGCCAACTATCTGGAGAAGGTGCGGCAGCTGGAGCAGGAGAACGCCAGCCTGGAGAGCAAGATCCAGGAGGCCTGCCAGTCGCAAGTGCCCACCATGTGTCCTGACTACCAGTCGTATTTCAGGACCATTGAGGAACTCCAGCAGAAGGTGAGGGCAAGCGGCAAACAGTCTCCCTGGGGAGGAAACCGGGACGGCGGGCATTCTAGATTCTAAATCTCGTCATTTACCAAGCTATGTTCAGGGAGAAGAGGCTTCCCCAGGGCATAGGATTATCTCATAATTGGAGCACTCGGCCAGAGCCCTTAACGTGGAAAGGGGCCTGGGATGCAGTCTTCATTGCATGACTTTAGGAGGTCCCTTCCCTTCCCTGGGCTTCAGTTTCCCCATCTGTAGAATGGTCCTACCTAATGGAGCTGCCAAGAAGATTCCCTGAGTGGATGCAGGTCAAGTGCTTAGCACAGCGCCTGGAACGGGGTGAGGGTGGGTGGATCGGTAAATGCTAGTGCTGATGAAGGACCCTTCTGTCACATGAATGACCACAGACTTAATGAGAGCCTTTCCTTCGGTATTGCTCATTGTATCCAAAATGGGGTGTTTGGATTTATGCAGACCCAGGGGCTTAAGAAATAAATCTCATGTCTCTACGGACGAGCAGTTCACTGAGTACCCTCCAGAGCTCCCAGGAGGAGGGGCTTCTGTAGGGATGACTGCTAAGCTGCTGAGCCCCTCAGCTCCTGTCCTCTCCTCTCTGGGTTCTTACCCTGGACTGACCCTCTCTGTGGGCTTTGGCCTGCAGGTTCTGTGCACCAAGGCAGACAACGCCAGGATGGTGGTGCACATCGACAATGCCAAGCTGGCTGCGGACGACTTCAGGACCAAGTGAGTTTGGCCCGGGGATAGGCGCCCTCTCCCCCCTGCACATGCGTAGGGGCAGCTTTCCATTACCTTCATAGAGAGCTGGAAAAGTGCCAGCCATTGAAGGACTCCCCTGATTCCTGTACCCACCCCTCACTGCCAACCCTGTCCTCGTGCAGGTATGAGACGGAGCTGGCCCTGCGGCAGCTGGTGGAGGCCGACACCAACGGGCTGCGCAGGATCCTGGACGAGCTGACCCTGTGCAAGGCCAACCTGGAGGCCCAGGTGGAGTCCCTGAAGGAGGAGCTGCTCTGCCTCAAGAAGAACCATGAGGAGGTGAGCCCGGAAGTCAGCCAGACGCAGAACGTGGGAAGTACGTGGGGCTTTGGGTCGGACCAATGTGGGTTGGAAGTCCCAGGCCTGCCCCGTATTGTTTCTGTGACTTTGCCCAATGTTTAACCTTTCTGAGCCTCCTTATCTATACCTGGGAGCAACATGACCAGACAGGGTTGTTTGAGAATTCAGTGATATCTGGGGCTTGAAACACCTGTCCCTTGGTAGGTGCTCAGAAGGACTATCTTCTCTGCATTCCCTGGGCTTGCGTGACTGCCAGGTGCCTTTCCACTGCATTTGTTTTTCTCCTGAAAGCCAAGTTCCAGCGGGGATGGGAGGGGGGGGGTGCACTGGAACCATGGGGGTTGTGTTCTGGAACCCTCACCTGCTCGTCTCTGCGAGGCTGGACTGCTGGGTGCCCCTATGCCTTCTCGGGGGGAGTTGAACTGCAGTGGTTTCCTTCCTTCTGTCCCCATCCTCCTCTTCCTTCCTCTCTTCTGTTTGCATCTAATAGACTTAATCCAGGAGCCTCAGGTCAGCCTTTTGTGGCTCTTGCTCCTCTCCTGCAGGTCCTGGTGGGAATCCCCTAACACCTCTCCCAATTCTCCCCAGGGCGCCTGCGTGCTGAACGCCCACTGAGCTCTGGTGTTTTTCCCTCCTTCCCTGTGTTGACTTTCAACCTCTTGACTTGGCACTGGAAAGAACAAGTGTCTCTGAATCCTGGCCGGGTTCCCTCAGGCTTAAGTGTAAAGTAACAGCTCCTCACCATGCCTTGCCAAGTGCCCTAAGGCACCTGACTCACCCCACCTAATCAGGGAACTGGGACCTAAACCGAGAAGCCACTAATGAGGCGCTATCACACTCCTGACAACTTTCTCTCCTTGGCAGCCAAGCCTGTGGGGGTGCCTGCTCTGACTTGGCCTTGAACCAAGTGAGGCCAGGCTTTTGCTGCCCCACTCCCCAGATGGACACGCGGGATGCAGGCTCACGGGCTCCCATCTTAGCTTAAATGCATGAAATGAACCCTGATGCTCATGTGTGAAAGGAGGTGGTTAGCCGGAGTGCTTCCCCCATCATGAGGGCATCCGGTTGAACCAGAGACCCTCAGGATACTCCAGTCCTCCGGGGCCCTTCAATGGAGAGATCTTTAGCACCTCTTGTTCTGTCTTTCCACATCGCCCGAGAGGTGAGCCCCGAATCCCACATCTTCACACTTGCCTGGGGCTCTTGCTCCTTTTCAGGAAGTTGGCACCCTCCGGTGCCAGCTTGGGGACCGCCTTAACATCGAGGTGGACGCTGCGCCCCCTGTGGACCTGACCAGGATGCTGGAGGAGATGCGGTGTCAGTATGAGACTGTGGTGGAGACCAACCGCAGGGACGTGGAGGAATGGTTCAACACACAGGTGGGCCTCTCGCCAGTGGGTGGCTGCCCCAGTATCCCCCACGAAGGCTCTGCCAGCCTCTTCTGTCTCCCCCACTGCAGATGGAGGAGCTTAACCAGCAGGTGGCCACCAGCTCTGAGCAGCTTCAGACCTACCAGTCGGACATCATTGATCTGAGACGAACAGTCAACACCCTGGAGATCGAGCTGCAGGCCCAGCACAGCCTGGTGAGTGGCCCTGGGGGGAGGGGGCACCTCTCCCGCAGCTCTGGCTCCCAGGTGGCACCGAGTGTGGGTGGCACGGAGCATCCTGGAAGGAGGAGGAGGAGGAGGAGGCCCAGCTGACCTTCCTTGGAGGGAGGTTTCTCCCAGGACTCAGCTCAGAGATAAAACGGGTGTCCCAGATCTGACAGGAGTGAGATGGCCGGGGTCAAAATGGCTCCTCAAGAATGCTGTTCTCTGTTCAGCCTGCCCTTCCAAACCCGTGCTTTCCCACCCCACCTGTGAAGGTTTAAAGAACCAAATGCCCAGGTTCCTCCCCAGAAGAATGAAATCAGAGTTCCTGGGCCTGGCTGACTCTAACATGCAGCCAGGGTAAAAGACCACTGTCCCAGTTGATGCCTTAGGACAGTGGTTGGCAAACTGATTCGTCCACAGAGCCAAACATCAACAGGACAACGATTGAAATTTCTTTGAAGAGCCACATTTTTTAAACTTAAACTTCTTCTAACACTACTTCAAAATAGACTCGCCCAGGCTGTGTCATTTTGTGGAAGAGCCACACTCAAGGGTCAAAAAGCCACATGTGGGCTCTCGAGCCGCAGTTTGCCAACCATGGCTTTAGGGAAGGAGCCTGGTGGACCTGAGCCCCAAAGCCTGAAGGCAGACTAAGGCTGGAGAAGGAATAGGGATTTAGGGTCACACAGACCTGTGTTCAAACCCTGGTCTCTCACTCAGCAGCTGCTTAACCTTGAACAAGTCCCTTTCCCGTTCTGGGCTTTAGTTTCCACAGCGACTTAGGTTGAGAGGGGTCATTCTCAACCCCAAAGAGAGGCTTGGCTCTTCCTGAGTCGGGCCATGGCAAATAGATCTGTTCCTCATAATTATGTATCTTCTCCTTTGCTCAGAGGGACTCCCTGGAGAACATGCTGACGGAGACCGAGGCCCGCTACAGCTCTCAGCTGGCCCAGATACAGTGTCTCATCACCAACGTGGAGGCCCAGCTGGCCGAGATCCGCTGCGACCTGGAGCGGCAGAACCAGGAGTACCAGGTGCTGCTGGACGTCCGGGCCCGGCTGGAGGGCGAGATCAACACGTACCGGGGCCTGCTGGAGAGCGAGGACTGCAAGTACGTGGGCCCGGCCGAGGCTGCCCCGGGAGGCGCGTGGGAGGGCTGGGGAAGCCATAGGAAGCAACTGGGTCTTCTCATCAGGGAGAGCCCTGGTGTCATTAAGAAGGGATTAGGAAGCTTGTAGGATCTGAAGAAAGTCAGGCAGGCATTCATGCTGCCCTCCCTAATCCTGGCCCGTTGACGATCCTGCTCCGTTCCAAGTCAACAAACGCCTTCCAAGGGCCCAGCGGGTGCCAGGCGCCAGGGGAAGACCCAGATGGATGATGATAAGGCATCTGCTCTTAAGTTGTTCCCATCTGTTTAGAGAGCCAGGAAGAGAGGCAACTGGAGATGATACTGGGTGGAAGGGGGATTGTTTCAGCACTGGGAGGACAGTAAGTAGCTTCATGTGATGATCTGGAGTGGGAGGCAGATAGGAAAGGTCAGTTGGGGACCGTTCATAGAGAGCCATATAGACCATGCTGGAGAAAGAGGGTTTTATTTTATAGGCAATGGGAGGTTCGTTCTTTCTTTCTTTCTTTCTTTCTTTCTTTCTTTCTTTCTTTCTTTCTTTCTTTCTTTCTTTCTTTCAAGGACGAAATGATAGAATTTACTTAACCGCGGATCTCCCTCATTAGAGGATAAATAAATACCTGGACCTCAGAGACAATATAAAATATTTTTACCCCCTGCACCTGGCACATAGTAGATGCTCAGTAAATATTTCTTGACTAAGTCAGTTAGTGCTCACAGCTGCTCCTCAGGAAGAGGCCACGGATGGCAGGCAGAGGAAGGGCTGAGTAGAGGGGGGAGAGACCGGGCAGGGATGCTGTACAGGAGGCCCTGGCCATGGTCAGGGCAATGCAACAGGGTGGGGGGAGGGGATGTGAATCAGGTCAGTGCGGCATCCGCCCCCAGCCGCAGTGCAGGCAGAATCACGGGGCTGGGTGGTGGTCTGTGCGCAGGACACCGCTGTGCTGTGGACCCCTGGAGGCTGATTACTGTTCCAGGTAGTTTCTGATTCTACATTCACCCTTGCTTCTCCATCATCTAGAATCTTGTCCTCCAAGACAAGAGCCGCAAAGTCAAATGTTTTCCTAGGACCAGGCTGTTAGCAGACCTGAGTGGCATGGCTCATATAGGACTGTGGACCACTAGGGAGCTAGGCCTTGTCCAGTGTGGGTGGCACTGCTCCTCGGTGCCATTTCTATCACAGGAGAGTGGCAGTATTGCTGGATCGTCTGATTGTACAAGGGAAGCCGGGAGTCTGGGTTTCTTTAAATGTGAAATTCTCTTAATTTTAAATATTTCAACAAATTAAAAGACAACACAGTGCCAGCGTTTCCAGCTGGATGTGGTCTGGGGCTGCCTGTCTGGTCTCTGGGCTCCTCGGTGTCCATCCAACATCCAGTGTGTCCTTTCTGGTTCTGAGCCAACACCTGCCAGTCTCTGAGACCATCCTCTCTTTTCCCCTTTGCTGTGTGTTTCTTCTATTGATTAATTCACTTAATCAATTATTAAGAATCTGCTCTAGGCCAGGTATGCAGGTGGGCATGTATCTATGGCTACTCACCTCACTGCCCAGTGGGAGAGAGATCATACTACAATAATCACACATTGCTCTAGAAGGGGGTTCATGGTACCATAGGGGGATTTGACGCGGAGAGATCCAGGGGGGAAGGCGAGACTTCAAGGAGGAGGTGACAATTGAATTGAAGGAAGTTGCTCTTTGTCCTGAGTACACATGAGAGCCTCTGAAGGCCCTAAGGAGGGAGATGATTAGATTTGTGTTTGTGGAGGATCACTCTGGCCACCAAGTTGACAGTAGTTAGAAGGGGCAAGGGTGGGGCCGGGAAACCAGTTAGGAGGCCCACGGGGCCACACAGCTGAAGACAGTGAAGGGTGGGACCAGGGAAGTGAGAAGGTGAGCAGTGGGTGATTTGGGAGGCATTAGTGGCAGAACCTGCTGCCCACTCCGGCTCCTTTAACCCCTTCATGTGCCTTTCTCCCGCAGGTTGCCCTGTAACCCATGCTCCACTCCCTCGTGTCCCCCCTGTGCGCCCTCGCCCAGTGTGCCCCGCTCTGTCTGTGTGCCCCACACGGTCTGTGTGCCCCACACTGTCTGTGTGCCTTGTGTGCCCTGCCCCCCGGGCCGCTTCTGAAGCCCCTCGGTGCTGGTGGATGGATCCTGGAGGGACCGGAGCTGGGAAGCTGGTGCCTCTGCAGGTTGAGCCTGACCTGGGTTCAGTGGCCACCAAGAGAGCGAAGCCAACAAGGAAGACTGAGCAGTGCCAGGTGGGCCGTCTGCCCGCAAGGCGCTCTGATACTGCAGGGGGTGCCCTGGCCCCCATCGCTTAGGAACAGCCTCTCCATAGGTGAATCTGCTGATATTCTCTAGTTCTCTGCTGCCTCAAGAGCCTGTGTCCTTAGTCAACTGGCAAATAAAGCCGCACTCGGCGGCCCTGCAAACGTCTTTCTTTATCGGTCATTTACGATGCTGTGTCCAGCAGCCGGTACTGCTGCTCATTGGGCATCAAGAGAATGTGGCCACATTCTGTATTTGTTGGATGCCCCTCTGCTTCCACAGAGGCTTCCAGAAAGGCCCACAGGCCAGAAACCAGTTAAAACCAGGCTACTGGTTCAGAGCCAAGTAATAAAAATATGAAAAGGGGAGGGAGATAATTATGCCGGAAACTTATGCCAAAATACTCTAAATGAGAATATTCTTGTGATGATCCCACCCCAAACCTCATGCCAGCTGGTACAATGTGGTCATACATTCATAATATCCTTACTGATTGCTTGGGAGGTGAAGGTTCTACTTCAGGGGCTGGTTAACCCAGGGGGTAGTGCTCTCACCCCCCCCAGACACCTTGTTAACGCCCCATTAAATCCTTGCAACAATCCATGAAAAAGGCATCGTTATTTTCCTCCACTTTACAAATGAGGAAACTGAGGCCCAGAGAGGTTAAGAATCTTGCTCAAGATCACACAGTTAGTAAGTGACAGGCCCAGGACCCAAACACAGTCCTTCAGGCTCCAGAGATGCTCAACCAATTCATATTCTCAAGTAGTCCTCACTATTTGCAAACGACCGCTGGGGGCCAGGGAATACCAAAAGTGCAAGAGATCCCCATCATCCGGGCACTTCTAATTAGAGAAGGAGCAAGAACCAGTATATGTAATGCCTCACTCATGCCTCAATAAGGGCCTAGTAATAACATAATAACAACAATTTCTGCCACTTACTAAGCGCTTCTGATACACCTTATATTGTATTGTGCACATTACATAAATTAACTTATGCAGTTTTCATGACCACCCCTCTTAGAGATGGGAAACTGAGGTGCAGAGAATGGTTTAGTCAGTTGCCCAAAGCTACGGGCAAGGACAAAGATTTGGACCCAGTTCTAGCTGCTTCCACTGCAGCATTATTCTAACCACTCTGCCTCACTGCCAAATTCCAGAGAATACACACGACAAAGACTGGGAGAAAGTCCTGGCTTGGGGAGAGCAGAGAAGGCTTCATGTAGCTCAAGCGTAGCTCAAGCATGTCAAACTCGCAGCCTGCAGGCCACATGCCTTGTTTATTTGGCCCATGTTAGCCTTTGAGTTTGACACGCTTGATGTAGCTGGTGGCATCTGAGATTGACCTGGAAGGTGGAATAGGATGTCTATGGAGCAAAAGAGAGGTATAGGTGTGGGGTCTGTAGGAAAGCGGAAGTTATGTCAGCAGTGGGGGAGGGGGGATAGAAGCGTGTAAATGGACCTCCTGGTGAGAGCAGCAGGTTCCTGTGACAAACTAGTGGAAATAAAGCTGAAATGGTAGGAAGGTCAGACTGTGGGGGGCCTTGATTACCCCACAAAGAGCCTGGACTCTATCCTAAAGGCAGTGGGAGGGTTACAGGCCTTGAGCCCAGGGATGACATGACTGGGGTGGGGGGTATTGTAGCAAGTTTCACAGCTGAGAGGACAGCTGAGAGGCAGGGAGAGAGCTGAGGAATAGTGTGCCAGAAGCTGAAGGGGTCTCGCCTAAGGCAATGACAGTGGGAAATGGAATAGTAAGGGGTTGACTGGAGGGAGTCAGGGAAGGGCCCAACTTGGCAATGGCAGATCAAGAGGAGAAAGCTGGGAGCAAAAATCTTGAATATCTTTTTGCACCTCACCCACCAAATACGTAGCTCTTCTTAATGAGCTGAGATGATGTTTCTATTAAGGATCTACCTGCCAAGAAATTATGAGAGATGGAGTGGCTCCTGACACTGCCCGAGGCTGTTAGGACATGATTCCACATGCCTGGCAGACGGGGCCATAATGACTGGAGACACACAAACACACTGCTCAGCCTGCTGTGGTTCCTGGTCATGTGTGTGTGTGTGTGTGTGTGTGTGTGTGAGAGAGAGAGAGAGAGAGAGAGAGAGAGAGAGAGAGAGAGAGAGAGAGAGAGAGAAAGAGAGAGAGAGAGAGAAGAGAGAGAGAGAGAGAGAGAGAGAGAGAGAGAGAGAGAGAGAGAGAGAGATATATTTCAGTGAGCTTGAATGCCATGGAAGGGGGCTTCTAATAACTAAGCACAAACAGGCAGTCCTTACTTTCAATCCCTGTGCAAAATTTGTCCAGAATGTGCTCAGCTTGATTAACATGACAGCTTAAACAGAACCAACTCTTTGGCTCTAGAATTCTAGGCCCATTCTGTCCAATACAGTAGCCACTACCTACATCAGGCTATTTAATTTATAATTAAATAAAATAGATCCTGAGACATGGGAGCATGGAACAGACTAATGAATCTCAGGGAAGAGGGGGATGGGAAGAGATTAACCAAGAGCTTATATGCACATTAGAGACCCGGTGCACGAATTTGTGCATGAGTGGGGTCCCTCAGCCTGGCCAGTAATTAGGGCCAATCAAGGCTAGCCAGGGGGAGGGATCGTGGGAGGTTGCCCAATGCAGGAGGTTGGCTGTGGGAGCGCACTGACCACCAGGGGACAGCTCCTGCATTGAGTGTCTGTCCCCTGGTGATCAGTGCGCATCATAGTGACCAGTTGACTGGTAATGGATGCTTAGGCTTTTATGTATGTGGATATGCATAACCCATGGGCACAGATAATGGTGCAATAGGCCTGAGGGAGTGTGGGTGCAGGGTATCAATGGGGGAATGGGGCATTTTAAATACTTTCAAAATAAAGATAAATTTAAAGAAAGAAAATTTAGGTTCTTCAGTCACACTAGTCACATTTCAAGTGCTCAAGGCTTTTGTGTGGCTGGTGGCACCACACTGGTGTGTACAGATAGGGACTGTTCCCATGACTATCAGAATCAAAAGCAGCCCTACAGTTGGCCTGGCCCAGCCTCTCACTCACAGACGATGAGTCTACAGGCCCAGGTTGATGGAAAGATGTGCTCACAGACACACAGCTAACAGGTGGGGCCCGGAGCCAAGTATTCTGACGCCAGCCAGTGGGTCTCTCCACGCTTGTTATGCTTCCTCCAAGCACCAAGGTTTGTTATTCTTTCAGGCTAATAAATACTTCCCCTTTCCCCTTCTTTCATGCTCCTAAGGACAGAGGCACTTTCTCTGAGATGCTGAAACTCTCTCCTAAGAATATAGTTCCCCTTTAAATAACAACTAGCAACCTCCAAACTCAGCATCCCCTCATCCTTTGAGCATCTGGCTCAATAAGAGCACAGACTTCAGGCTGTGGCCAGAGTTGCCATGGGAACAATCACCCCAGAGTTGTGACCCAGCCGTCATGCACCTAGACTTTATGGAGACTTCTGCAGGCTCCTCACCTCTCCCCCCCCCACCCCCACCCCCGGCACATACTGTCCAGTCCAACCTGGCCCTTGTTCCCACACCTGTGTGTCCTCTGACTTGCCAAGACCTGTTTGACCACCCAAATGCCCGTTAAAGCTTTTTATGTGAAACCAAGCTCCACAGCCCAGGGCCAGGAGTGCCGCCCCCTGCTGGGCCCAGATGGCCACCACCTCCAGTGTTTGGATGGTACTTCCAAGTTAGAGACCTCTTGAGCTATCCTCCTGCCTAGCCCATCTCTCTTATTTGATGGATGAGGAAGCTGGGGGCATAGACTTTGGGAAATATGTCCTCCAGCACTAGGACCTCCTGGACCCAGTGCTGCCCAAATAGGGGATTCTCAAAGGAACCGTGTCCTCATAATCAAAGCATTTGCCTTTAATTAACTCTGGTTTATAGGAAGACTTAGGCAGAGCCATGGCAAAGTAATAAAACCTCTGGCATATTTGATGTTTGGAAGAAACTCCCACAGGTAGCAGGATCCTTTCCAGGTGGGAACGAAAAAGAAAGAACTTGGGTTTCAAAGGTGCAACTCTCCCTGAGGCCATTAAAGAGTCTGGGACTCAGACCTGCCCCTCACTGTCGGGGTGAGAGGACCCCCTCTGAGGCAGGAGTGAAGACCCGCAGGCAAAGCTGCCTCCAGGAAGCCTGGCCAGAGGGCTATGGCTCCTAGAGAGAAAGGTCCAGGGGTTGGACACAGTGACTGGGGGATGGGTGAAGTGTGGACTGAAAGGCACTGAATCAATCTCCCCCCTCCTATACTAGGAACACTTTCACAGCATGATCCAAAAAGGATATGCCAGGCCCGGCCCGTGTGGCTCAGTGGTTGAGCATCAACAATGAACCAGGAAGTCATGGTTTAATTCCTGATCAGGGCACAGGCCTGGGTCACAAGCTCTATCACCAGTAGGGGGCAGGCAAGAAGTAACCAACCAATGATTCTCTCTCTCCTTCCTCTCTGAAATCAATAAAAGCAGATTTACAAAAAAGAATATGCTAGGAGATAACTGAAAATATCATCAGCAATAAAAAATTCTCTTTGGGGGTTTCATACATTTTAGCACTCGAATACAATGATCTCAATTTTGCTAAACAGCAAGTTCCTTTGAAAGATCATTTGATGGCTTATCTTGTTGAACCACTGGTTGAGATAGGTTTACTTTTACATAGTCCTCTCGCGTAGCAAAGCACACTGATGAGCATCTTGCCACAACGGAAACCATCAGTGCTGCTGGCTCAGGGATCCTGGGCTGGCGTCCTAATGATACTACAAACATGCTGTGATTTGGACAGATCCCCCAACCTCTATGTATCTCCGTCTCCTTCTCCCCTTCAGAAAGGGGGTAATTC